AAGGAATTACTTTTGCTTTTGTTGATAAATATTTTTTCTAAGAGAGCCACCTAAATTATTAAAGGCTAAATATTATAAATAAGATTTTAAAAAAATAATTTTTTTTGGTTTTTGAAAAATAATAATAGAAATGTTTTAGTGTTCAAATTCAAAAGTTTTTTTTTGTCAAAGAATTTTTTTTTTTTTTGAATGTTACATTTTAAAATGTTTAATATCATCCATTTCTATAAAATGTCTTATTTTATGTATTAATATTGTATATAATTTACATTATTATATTTTTTTTAATTTTCATTAAATTTAAATAATAATAAAAATTTCTCGAAATTTCAGAATTTTTCTTGAAATTTCGGATTTTTTTTTTTCGAAATCCAAACTTTTAATCTAGAATCTAGAATGTTGATCCAAAATCATTAAAAAAATTTGTTTTTCTTGGTCTAAAATTTTCATTCCAGACAAAATGATTATTTTTGTTAAAAAAAAAATAGTTTTTTTTTCTTCTTCAAATAGACATTAAAAGATTATTAGATTACTTAATTTCGTAGTTATTAATTGTTTAATTCCGTTAATAATTCTACTAATTATATTTAGAGATTATTTTTGAGCTTTTGCTATTATTTATTTTTATTGATCTATCATTTAAAATTGTTAATTATTAGTTAAACATATTTTATTTTTTTATCAGTTATCAACCATTTAATTATATATAGTGGTATTATATTATATTATTTTTGTTAATAATACTTTTCTTTTGTTCCGTACTCATATTCTAATCTAATATTACCATCAACCACTTAATATTTTTATGATTATTTATCAACCATTTAATACTTTTCAATCGTTTAAAATAAGAGCAATATAAATAATGAGGGGGCTTAAAAACAACAAATCAGAAGATGGATGTTTATAAAGTGTATCAATTAGATGAGAACGAGTATATTTATTATTGAAGAAAAGCTTTAGAAAATGAAATTGAGTAATCTAATCTTTATTTCGGTTTCGGGTATTTTTTAAAAATATAACTTTTTTTTTTTTTTTTTTTTTTTTTTTTTTTGCAAATTAAGTACATATTTCGGAATAGGTCGTTACGGAATGTATTTCAGATAATTTTTTGGGTGGCTCTCCCATTTCTTTAGATCCGGAATGCCTTCTCCGGGTCAACCTTATATGTTCCAGATCGGGATTTTGAATTTTCAAATTTGGAATATAATTTGTGGTGGTGACTTCATTCCAGAAAGGTGCATTCCGATTTCGACGTTCCGACTCGATTCTAACACGTAATTCCGATCTCCGACACCCATCTCTGTCACTCAACTTCGATCTCCGACACCCATCTCGGACATCGAAGACGAGCACTACGACCCCATTTTTTTATGGATATGTTCTTTTTCTCTTTACATAGTTTCCTTGTATGTTTAAGGTGCATATTTTTCTACTGTTATTGTTTCAGAATTCGTAAAACACCTCCGGAATGAACTAAAAATGTTTCGGAGTTTAAATTAAAAATATCATTGCTTTAGGACCAATTGAAAAGTAGTTTAGATGTTTAGGTATTGTTGGTTTACATCGAAATGTCGTGTTTTGGATCTTAAAAGCTAATTGCAGAAGCCTACAGGACGCGAGGAATTATTCTGGAACACGATAAACTCGTTCGGAAGATAAGGAACTAGTCCGGAACTGGTCTAGAATACTAGTCATTTCCGTTTCGGAATGAAGTGATAACACATTTTTTATGTGTGCAGCACGACATGGTTTTTAATGCGTCAATTGCACTCTCGTGTAAACCTAAAATCGACGAGAAAATTCTTATGACATTCAGAGACAGACCCAGATGCGAGATTATGTTTTGGAATACATGTTTTGGGAGGTGGTTAGACATTCCTAATGTAGATGGGGATCATTTGCTTCTACATTATATATTTTGCCACGAAGTTGTCACCAAACCCTGAAGCCAAGTACATGAATGGTTTTTGAGATTGGGGGTTACGAGTTCTCTTTCGAGAAGAAAGAATTTTTTCTCATCATCGACTTCAAGTTTGGTGAGTATTTCCATGCTTTTGCATCCGACACCGCCTTCCATTCTTGTGCCTTTCCTATGGTCCCAACGAATATCTCGGTCAAATTAGACGATGTTATGAAGGAGTTTCAACATTCACTTAACGAGTTATCGGATGTGGATGCAGTCCGTGTATGTCTTCTATACCTATTAGAGAAGGGTTTCAACGGGCGGTTGGCTAAACAGCCTGTTACAAAAGAGTATTTTGCTTTACTATCCAACCTTGATGAATTCAACAGGTATAATGTCGTCTATTTTATAATTACTGATTATAATTACTTAATATTTTTTAGAAATTTAATTGCAAACTAATTTTTTATATGGCGGATATCCATAGGGGAGGATAATATGTGATCAAATGTACAGACAGTTATTTACTATATTCAATATGGTTGACAAACTTATATATTGAGACAAACTAAAATAGAACCAACCTTAAAAATTGACCTACACCCTACATGAGTTTTTATACACTTTTAAGGTAAGTATATTATGAAAAATTTATTATTTATTTTTGTTTGCTAACATTATAACAATTTTTTGTTTATTTGTTTGCTAACATTCAAATATGGATTCTTGAGACTTTTCCGATGATCAGTTTTCTTGGCACCCGACTACAGAATGTCATCTCTTGGGTTGTTGCATGGTAAAAAATGAGGCATTTACAAAAGTACAACTAGTTTTTACAAATCGACGATGTATGGTTACTTTATTATTTAAATATTTATTTATTTTATAATTTATATTTATTTATAATTTTATAATTTTCTTAGCAAGATAATAGATTCGTACATAAGTTGGAGTCGAGAGAAGATGAGATGCATGTTGAATGGTGGATAGTTAGCTCGCACGTGGATTGATCACCCTGGTTTTCCCAACACTGAAGTTCACACGGCACCTTCCCTAACACCATCACCCAAAAACTCGCCTACCCATGAGCCTCAAGACAAAAAGGCACTGATAGATGATCCATCTCACCCGTCAACACCACCACCGTTGACCGCTGATCCATCAACTGACAAGGACCGAATTAGTAGTGACTTGCAAAATGAGGTCCGTCATTTAAAATATAAGGTTCGTGAATGTCGCAAGTAGTTGTCGTCTGAGGATGAACGTTTATCAGAGCATGAAACTACTTTAGGCACAGTTCTAAAACTTATCAATAAGAATCCCAGAGACGATATGTGTACCTCGAAGGGGATAAAGGTACAATTTTAATTCTTTCATCGTTTGTGGTCGTTGTGTTTTTTCATCATTCACAGGCATACATTATTGAACCGTACATGGATACTACAAGAACAATGACTTATAGGAGCATGATTATGTCTTAAGCACCCCCGAACAACCAGTGAATGACAGACCTGAATAGCCGCTGAATGATGGCCCTGAGCAGCCGTTTCTAGGGGTACAAACGAGCCAAGCTACTCGGGATCGACTCGGTAAAAGTTCGAGTCGAGATCGGTTTTTATCGAGCCCGAGCCAAGCTCGAGCCTAATTTTACGCTTGATTATTAAACGAGCTCGAGCTTGAGCCTGTGTAACAAAGATCAATTAGGCTCGCGAGCCTAAACGAGCCTATATATAAATAAAATATATATTTTTTATTTTTATATTTTATATATTAAAATAGATAATTGGAAAATTATTGAATTAGGTTTCGGGAACGAGGGACTTTCATTCGTTTCAAAACAAAAGCAAATGAGCCGGAACCGCCACTATTCACGTCCCTTCCCCTTTATGATGTGATTCAAACAATCAGGCGCTTGTTATCGGTGGCGATCCGGAGAGCACGTACCACGAAAGCACGAATACCACCAGACGACAATCTCCCATCGACACCTGCCCACTAATCGAGCACCGTTCTCACCCTTCGAGCACCATCAGTCTGTCCAACCACCGACCAATCATCTTTACTGGCATCCCTAACTTTGATCCCTTCCATCGTATTCTGAGTTGTGATGTTAGTTACTTCCATTTTTCACTCGTCTATTATTTTCTGTTGATTCGAAGAGATCTTATCACTTGTCGATTACTTGGGTTTTGCTGCCTCACAACAGTTTTGTTTTTCATTATAATTTCCAGTCATCTGTTATTTTGTTTCGTTATTATTAGTTTATTACTGATTTCTAGTCATGTGTTACAATTACTTGAGTCTCCTAAGATATATAAACGGTGAATTACAGATATCATACGATTGATCTACAATCTTTGTGGTTTGGATCAATGTCTATTTCTTTGTGTTTCTTTTTTCTTTTCTTAAATTGATAAAATAGTTATCTACTCAATTGAAAGAATTCACATCCATTTGTTTTTTTTTCTGCTGAGTCAAAGATAGCCTCTGGGATATATCAGATTGTTGTCAATCTCTATTTTTCTATTTTTAATTGTTTGTCTGTTGGGATATATTAACTTGGTTTAATTGAAATACTAGTTTTAATTGTTAAGTCTAGACTCTTAGGAGATTGTGTTGTAGGTTCATATCTTTCGACTTGTTGGAATTATGAATTCTAGTTTTAAGTTTTTATATTTATCGTTTTGCCGAAGATAACTCATATTATTCAGTGTATATTAATTAAAGATCCTTATCAAGAAAATTTATTATTTAATGCTGATCAATTGAGAATGCTTATTAAATGTACATATTTTGACAAATGTTCTTTCATAAACCATGTTGCAGGTGTTATGGATGGTGATGTGAGTTCAGATCCAATGGAAGGGGTTGAGAACAAGGAGCAATATGCTCCCATAAATGTAGATGCTGATGAACAACCAACTCCTCAAAATCATATTCCAAGTCAAAATGCAGAAATCCACGCGAGAGAAGAGGAAATAGAAATGAAACGAAAATGAAAAAAAAACATCAAAGGCATGGGACGGTTTCACTGTAGTGACTCTATCTAATGGTACCAAAAAATCCCAGTGTAATCATTGTAAAACAAAGTTAACTTATGGTGATAGTGGGACTACATCAACTTTAAAAAGGCACTTGCTTATATGCAAGCCACATAAAGATTATGAAGAAAAATAGAATTTATTGAATTTTCCACATATTAAGTCTGATGGAGATGCAGGATATGAGAAGCTTCCTTCCTTAATGATTTATTCGTGAATATGATGAAGACAGTTACTCCATTATATGAGAAAAAAAGCAAGACTTCAACTAAAGCAGATTGTTTTAAGATATATGAGCATGAGAAAAAAACACTAAAAGCTCTTACGAAAGTATCCTAAAAAATCAGTTTGACCACTAATTGTTGGAAGTCATCTCATTAGAAGATTGGGTACATGGTTATCACAGGACACTTTATTGATCATTATTGGAGGTTTGATTTTTTTTTTCTATTTTTTAATAAGGCATGTCCATTTTATTTAAAAAAGTGTCTTGTGTTTTGTACATGTTTCTCCTCCTTATACCAGACTTGATATTGCTGATGGTATTTATAAATGTTTGAAGCATTGGGAAATTGAGGACAAGATATTCACGATATATGTAGACAATGTTGCATACAATGATAGGGCGTTGAGAAGACTGAAACATATTTTTTCTATGGTGAGAAAACTCACGTGTGGTGGGAGGTTGTTTCATGTTAGATGTTGTGCACACATTTTGAATCTTCTTGTGAAAGATGGTCATGCTATGATTGATTCTGTTATCGGGGAAGTTCGTGAGGGTATCAAATATATTAACAATTCTGAGGCGAGACTTCAAACATTTTCAAATATTTCACATCAACTGCAAATACAAGATAGAAAGTTATTGCTTGATGTTCTAACACGATGGAATTCAACCTATGATATGTTGTCGGTTGCATTAAAATTTAAAAATGTTTTCCCAAGGTATACATTAGATTTTAATAAGAATAGTTTTGAATGTTGTGATTTTCAGATTTTCAAATGTTACACATCACTAAGTTTTTGTGATTTTCATAGATTTGCAAAGTACGAGCCGCACTTCCATCACTTGCCTAATGTTGAGGAGTGGGCACATGTGGAGAGTGTATGTGAAATCTTGAAGGTTTCCAAGGTGCATATTAAATTTATTTAAGTGTTATTTTAAATATTTTATCATGCCTAATACTAAAGCAACTTATTTTCAAGTATGCACAAATGTCATTTTTGGAAGTGATTATCCAGCATCCAATCTGTATTTAATTGAGGTGCTTATAGTAAAAGAAACTTTGGATAAAGGTGCTCTATCAGAAAATCATTTCATTAGGACTATGGCGACTAAGATGAATGAGAAGTTTGAAAAATATTAGGAGGAGTGACATCTTGTCATGGCTATAGCTTTAGTGTTAGATCCAAGATTCAAAATGAAGTTAGTAGAATTTAGTTTCCCAACCATATAATCCAATGTTGAAAAGAACATTGAAGAAGTGGAGAAAGAACTTTATGAAATGTATAAGGAGTATTTGGAAATACATGATGCATGAGTCCGAGAAGCTGCAACACCTACAAATGGATGTGGAGGAAATGAAGTGTCAAAAACGACATCACCCGGGTCAAGATGGGAGGCTTTTGTGGAGTTTATAAAAAATACAGATTTGGAGAGACCAAAAAAGTCAGAATTAGATATGTATATGGAAGAAGGTGTTTATAGGGACCAGGGACCAAAAGGAATGGATTCATTCAAGGATTTGGAGACATGGAATGTTTATAATCTGAAGTACTGTGTTTTATCAAAGATGGCTATGGATGTGCTTGCGATCCTGATTTCTACCGTTGCATCTAAGGCAACATTTAGTGCTAGGGGTAGAGTAATTGATCCATATCGATCTTCATTGGAACCAAACATTATTCAAAAGTTTCTTTGTGGAGGAGATTGGATTAAACATTGTTATGGAATCAAGAAAAAATTGAAGGTGCATTTGATAAACTGAAAACACATGAAGTAACAATTGATTATTTAAATTTATTAATATATGATCGTGTTGGTGGGTTCTTTTTACAGAAGGAGGAAATTTCCATTGAGGTTTTATTACCAATAGGGACAAGTAATACTTAATGGTGTAAGCCATTTTAATCTACTTGTAATCTTGTTGTTTTAATTACATTATATTACACATCTCATAAAATGTTTTAATTTGTATATTTTGTTGTATTGAATTTGCTTCAAGGAAGATTGGCTTTTGAGTTTTGATAATATGTTATGTTAAAATTTAATCATTTTTATAGTATTTTTTGTAATTTGAACTTCCATGATAGGAAGACTTACTTTTGGATGATTTAATTACATTTTAGGTTTGTATGTTGAAGTTTAAAACTTATGTAACTTGAAGATTTTATTTATGCATCTTGGTTGGAATTTAAGTAGTCTGCATCTAGCTAAAAATTAACTAAATTCATGGTTCTGTTTTTTTTTTTTTTTCTGGAATTCATTTTGTAAACAAGCTTTTAACGAGCTCGAGCCAAGCTTAAGCTCGTTTAGGATCAGTTAGACAAAACGAGCTAAGCCCGATCCTATGTATTACTTCACAAGCCGATCTCAAGCTCTTTATTTCGGGCTTGAAATGAGCTGAGCTTAAGCTCGAGCCATACAAACTTTAAGCGAGATGAGCTCAAGCTTGGTCAGGCTCGGGTTCGGCTCGGCTCGTTTGCACCCATAGTTGTTTCCAGTTACTCAATCATCAGATGTAAAAGAGATTCCATAGGATGAATTCAAAACATTGTCTCCAGCACTTCTTAGGCGTTCTAAGCGCCAAAAAGTTATGTACATATGGTATAAATTTTCATGGATACAAATGAAGAGGAAATGTGTTACACGACAACAACCATCACCGTTGGTCAATCTTTTAGAGTCTACCGTACACAGTGTATATAAAGAACGTGATGGTTTGTTGTTGTTTGGTCACAAGTATTTGACTGCTTTTGCTACACTTGAGTTTTGGACACGGTTATATGCGGATAGTCATGGGGGATGGTTGTCATGTGATGTAAGTAATATAATTATTTGCTCATTACACACTACGCTTCTAATAGCAATACTTACTTTACTGCAAAATAATTAATTGGTAGCACATTATGATTTGGATCTCATTGTTGCTAGAGTGTAGAGCGGATGATGCTCATTGGACGGTTGTGTCGTTAGCTTTCAACACTGATACATTTGATTGGAGTGACATGGCTGACAAACCCGTTTACCCAACTTGGGCAGAGTGTGATATGGTATAATTATTTTGGATTACATTACCTGAGTATTTATATACTAATTAAATATTTCTAACTTTTTTGTAGCTTTACATCCCAATCAATATACCACATGCTCATTGGTTTTTGGGTGCTTTGGATTTGAAGACATTCAAAATGACTATATATGATAATCATTGGAAGGGCGGCTACTGTTCGAAAAATGAGGATTCATTTACAGGTATGAGAGCCCGCACCCACAAAGTTGCTCATAGGAGTCAACTACTGGTGTACCAAACCAAATTATTCAATCCCACTTGATAGCTTCAAGATGACCCTCGAAATGGCCCCATATGTACCACAACGTCTTGGTAGCAGAGGGGATTGTGGGGTGTTTTTGTGTTGGTTCTTGGAGATGTTGATCACCGAGAAATCAATTTCTATAGAGGGTAAAATCACCGGTCCAATAGCTATGGGTTATCGAAAACGACTAGCGGAATTTTTTGTGGGGTACAAGGACAAAGATAACTTGAACATCGTATTTTATAAAAACAAAAGTTATACATTTTATGAAAGAAAAACTTATACATTATATAAAACCAAAACTTACATTAAATGAAAAACCACATGTTACACAAAAAAAAAAAACAAATGAAACGTATTCCGGAACCATGGTCTGAAATCGTACACCGAAATTCCGGAGACCTCTCCGGAACCATGTGTTCTGGAGAATGTAGTTACCTTACAAAAAAACAAAAAAAGTTAGGCAATTGTTGTCAAAAAGGTCATTTATAAGGGTTAGATTACTTAATTTCCCCTTTAAAAAACTTATGTATTGGAAAGGATTAAGAAAGATAATTTATTGGGATATTAATGGAAATCATCAAAATTAAAATTAATGTTAAAGATAACAGCCTTACAATTTCGATAAATAACCAAATAATTCGAACCGGGTTACTTCAAATTTGATTTCGGTCCGGTTACCAACCGTTAACTGGACAGTTGACATGTCCCTTCTACTTATAGATCTTTTGGAATGGGAACCATTTTTCGGAACAACATTTCAGACCTAGCTCTTGGATGAAAATGACCACTGGTGGTGAAAATATTGTGTTGTTACGAATGTGTTCTTGCTTCCTTTACTTTTATTGAAACATCCCAAAAATCACAACCAAAATTTTAATTTTTAAATCATTAAATAATCATAGTTATTAAAATCATCTTATCAAAATAGAAAGCATAGTATCTCAAAATATGATAATCAGTATATCCATATCAAAACACATGTCAAATATATCAGAGTAACATCCCAGGCTAAACATCATGGTGTGCAATGCATTCATCCCAAGTTATTCCCTTCGCTACCAGAAGTACCTGAAACCAAAACTGAAAATTGTAATCACGAAGCTTAGTGAGTCTCCACAAACTACCACCTACCACACACATAACCTGCAATTAGGAGATTAAGGACCCGCCCACACTCAAAGACATACAGGCCTCGACTACACTCGGATAACGATCCCCACACTAAGAAGTACGGGGCCCACCCACGCTTAGTGAGATACAGGACCTGCCCATATTCGGCTATCTAAGAGATACAGGCCCCCGCCCACACTCAGCTAATAGTGAGATTCGGGTAATGGCCACACTGAACTAAATAAGAATACACAACAATATCACACAGAAAACAAGTATAACCGAATCTACCATTCCATTCCATATACATACTCAAATAATGCTAAGATACGAGCCCTGCCCACACTTAGCTACTAATCACGCACATAACATAGACGGGCCAACATTGGTGCCTTCGACCCGTTCAAACCAGGAGGAAACTCACCTAAAATGCGGATGATAGCTGAATTATCTCTATCTAGAATCAGCTTTACTCACTCTGTGGAGCAAAGCAACCCCTTAGATACCATTTTATGCTCATAACCCTTTAGGGTCAACTATGGTCAAAGTCAAGTCTAGGTCAAAGTCAAAGTCAACACTCCAAGTTGACTCAACTCATCAAGTCTACTCCCCAACTCGTCGAGTTCCCATAAATCACAGAATCATGAAATCACGATCCAACTTGTCAAGTTCTCCTCCAACTTGCCGAGTTCCTCCTTCCATACAGAATTGGGACTTTCCCAGTACAACTTGTCAAGTTCCCTAGTGGACTAGTCGAGTTCCTTCATTTTTAACAGAAACGGGAACTTTCCATACCAACTCGTCGAGTTCCCTTATGGACTCGTTGGGTTCATTAGTTTGTCAACTCTTCTTATTGCATTAAGTCCTTATTCTTTAAATCCATGTCTCATATTCCAGATCTAGACTGGATTTTTCTTTAGAAGGGTAAAGTTTCCAACTTTACCCATCAATACCCTTCCTAATGAGATTAAGCTCAAACCCTAACCCAAAAAGGCCAAATTCTTCATCCAAAGACCACCAAAACTACAAGATAGACCATGATATTATTGATCTGGACTCTAGGGACTAAGTGATCACGTAAAGTCTTAAATTTTATCCATATACATGGTCATAGAAGCTTCAAAAGACCAAAATGATGGTTTAAAGGTTGCATGGGACTTCCATGGCCATAAAGTTGGCACCTTTATGCCATGAAAAACCCTTGAGGCCCAAGATCTGAAGTGTTCTCCACTTGGGACATCCAAATCCCAAGAATCATATCATTTGGACCAAAATAAGCAAGGAACTTCGAAAATGGAGATCTCAATGACCACAAAGCAAGGTTCAAGCTTTATACCAGCAAATGTCGTGGATGAAGCAAGGGTTCTGGATCTACAAACTTCTTCTTGTGTCCTCAAGCTTCTCCTTCTTCCATTGGCTTCAAAACATACACTAAAGCACTTAAAATAGCTCGCAAACACTCACAATAGCATTAGACTTTCAAGATTTAGGGTTTGGGACTTGGAGGCTAGAAATGAGGCCAACAGGAAAGGTTTAAGGTGCTTAAATATGGTGTAAACCCTGGAAATTAGGGTTTCATCCCTCCCAGCCTACTCGTCGAGTTGAGGTCTCCCACCCCGTCGAGTAGGTTACTTAAATTACGCGGTCCTTATGATCTCTATAAAATGGAATAAATTTAAGTTAAATATGTACCAGGAACCAGGCGTTACATTTATCTTTGATTAGTTAGGGTCTTAAAAACACACTCCATAATGTATCATCCTTGTTCGAATATGATGAACCAGTCTAAAATGACCGTTTTATTCCGAATAAAAAAACATAGAATCTTGGTGTAGGTTATTAGTTAGTCTTAGATGTCTTATAGAATTAGAAATATGGTGTTTAATTATTCCTTCTCTTAAACCCACATTTCAACATGTTTGGAACAAGAATATCATCTATGGAATCTAACTAATAGTCCATAATACAATGAATAGTCCATATTACAATAAACACCCCAAGCTGTCATAGTCTGAAATGGTGTATGTGTTACATAGAAAAAGTGTCTGACATACAAGACACTTTTCTGAAATTCATGTTTTAGGAGGTGGCTTGATATTCCCGAAAACATAGAACGAGACCCACTGGTTATGCATTAAAGTTTCTACAAAGAACTTTTTATAGATCTAAAAAACGAAGTGGATGAAATGTTCTTCCAAATACATGAGTATGAGTTCTTCTATAACGACCCAAATTTTTACGTCCGAAAATTTCATTTTTGAGGTATTATTTTAGAAAACATTAATAAATAAAAACATTGTTTGTTCACACCATAACACATCGCAGCCATGTTCTAAAA